GCCCAGGGCAACAGCTTGAGGCTCTGTCTCAAAAAAAAAAAAAAAACTTAAAACGTAGCCCATTTGTATAAAGCTTAAAATAATTTAAAAATACTGTGTGTTGTTACTACACACATATATATTAAAAACGGGGAGGAGGATCAACATGGGGTAGTGATTACCTTGGAGTGAGTATAATGGATGGCTTCAGTTTTATCTGTGATGACACATGATGGAAGCCATCATTTGGGCCAGTGGCTTAACTTCTCTATGTCTCAGTTTTCCCACCTATAAAATGGAGATAATAAACATGACATGTTTCATGGGGATATTGTGAAGATTAAATGATTTAATATGTGTAAAACACTAGAACAGTACCTGGCATATAGCAAATGTCTTTCCTATTTTTTTTTTTTTTTGTTAGGCAAAATAAAACAGGATTTGAAATAAATATGGCAAAATGTTAATATTCATCAGTGTTTGGTGGCATGTAGAAAGGTACTCATTATATTACCCTATACTTAAAAGTATGTACTCTTTTTAAAATTTTTTAAATAAATCATAGCTATATATATTAATGCATTTATGGAGTACAATGTGCTGATTTTATACACAATTTGGAATACTTACATCAAACTGGTTAACATAGCCTTCACTTCACTTTCTTAATTATTGTGTTAAGACATTTATACTCTACACTTAATAGATTTGACATGTAATGTCAAAAGTATATGCTCTTAAAGCATTTGTAATTTTTAAAATGCAATAAAGGTAAGCAGCAAACTAGGAAAACCATGGTAATACATGTAGTAGATAAAAGGGTGAAAATTCTTAATGTATAAAGTATATTTATAAATGATACCCAAAAAGCAAAAACTCTAATAGAATAAGCAAAGGGTGTGAGCAGGCAATTTCACCAAAGAAGAAATATAAAAATCGAAGAAACATGATAAAATCAATAAAACAGCAATGTCCTGTAGATTAGAAAAGGTGGGGAACTGTCCAGTATTAGCATAGTTGAAGGGAAGCAGTTATACAGCTCATGGAATTGGTTAAAACCTATCTCTGAGGATCATTTAGCAGTATGTGTCAGGAGCTCTAAAAATCTCCATTGGCAATACAGTTTCATTTCCAGAAATCCATTCTCAAAAAAGAATTAGACAAGTTGTTTTAAAACATAAATGTAAAAGGAAATTTACTGTGGCAATGTTTTTAAAAGGGTAAAAAAAAAAAAAAAAGCCTATCACAGGGAAATTGTTAAACGAGTTTTGGCACATCTGTACAGCAGAATATGCCACAAATGTTAGAAAAGAAAGAAAAGAAAAAAGAAAATGGTGCTGCAGGTTGTGTTTAATTGGCAGTGGAAGGATGTTTACCAGTTATTATGTTTTAAATGTAGGTTGGCTTGGCGCCTATAGCTCAAGCAGCTAAGGCACAAGCCACATGCACCAGAGCTGGCGGGTTCAAATCCAGCCCAGGCCTGCCAAACAACAATGACAACTACAACCAAAAAATAGCCAGGCGTTGTGGCAGGTGCCTATACTCCCAGCTACTTGGGACACTAAGGCAAGAGAATCACTTAAGCCCAGGAGTTGGAGGTTGTTGTGCGCTGTGATGCCATGACACTCTACCCAGGGCAACAGCTTAAGGCTCTGTCTCAAAAAAAAAAAAGGTCTGTTGACATCTGTAGAATATGATCCCATTAAAACATGTGCCAAGGTCAAGGAGAGTTTGGAGTTCCCCAAAAGTCTTGCCACTACCTGGAAAGCCGCCATTAGCACTGATGGCTTAGTGGAACTCCTACCAGGAATCATGGGAAGTGGGTCACCATGCTGAAGTCCACATCTGTCAGATCCCAGCAAGCCTGTAAAGCATACAGAGTTGTTTATATCTGAAGGCACCCCTTGCCTGGGTCTAGAGCTCTTGGCCACTGTCAGCAGTCATAATAAATATTGCCAACAATAACAATATTTACCCTCTCCTACAGAACATCCACTTTGAATCCACTAGCTCTAATTCTGCCTCCTATGGAGTTATTATTATCTCCATGTTATGGATAAGGACACTCAAGGCTCAGAGAGATGAAGAAACTGGCCTAGGATCACACAGCAGCAGACCCTACTTTTCTCTACACATCTTAAATCATTGAACTTTGATCGATATGGCCTTCAAAAGCCTGGGGGGAGCCTTTGGAAGGATAGCTGGTGCCAAAATTTACATACTTCACAAGCTTAGCTGCACATTAGAATCACCTGGGAAGATTGTTTTAAATCTCCAAAGCTGGGCTGCACTCTAGTCTAATTTAACCAGAATCTTTCCAATGGGGTTCAGGCATTGGTATTTGGAAAGCTCCCTAGATGATTCCAGAGAAAAAAATTGAGAACTCATGCTCGAAAATGGCATTTCTCAAACTTCACTAGTCAAAATGCAGATTCTGATAAAGCAGATCTGGGGTCTTCCAAGTTCTGCATTTCTAAAGTGTTTCCAAATAATTCTGCTATTCCCAGAGAAACTTCTATGTATCACTTCCCCAAAGGCTTTCCTCAAGAGTCTTTTCTGTCTTTTTTTTTTTCACTGACACCTAGTTTTGCCTGATCCCTACTATCTTGCCACCAAAATAGATGGGAACCTGGACAAAGTGAGGTGCAGAGCCTTTCCTGAGCTCCACTCTCCAGAAATGAGTAGCAACACTGTGGGTGTCCCAAATAGCTCTAAAGAGCACACCCACCCTCGTGTGCTTCTGTCACAGCAGTGGGCACACTGAAGGACAGCTGGCTGTGGTCACAGCTGCCTGGCCCACCACATTGTGGGCTCCTTGACCACAGGGCTCTGTTGGCTGAGGCTGCGTGGCTCATGAGTCATTGATCCAGGGGAAGCTCAGCCATTGGACACTTAGAAATATTTCCAGAAGGGAGAGGGGGTTGCCCTAAGTCTTAAAGCGGCAGATCTCAACCTGTGGGTCATGACCCACGGGAACTGTATTAAAGGGCCATGGCATTAGGAAGGTTGAGAGCCACTGTCTTAAAGGATAGCACTGAGTTCATCTCCTTCTCAAACTCACTGGGTACATAACCCCAGACAAGTTACTTAACCTCTCAGTGTCATAAACAGTGCTACTTTCCTCACAGAGTTTTGGACAGATCCAAAGAAACAACCCATGCAAAGCATTCTAGCCCAGGATTTGGCTCATCATCAACCCTTGAGAAACAGTGGCTGATTATTCTTACAACGGAACGCATGCAACATGTGGACAAGGAAGGAGGGCATTTCAAGAAGTAGGAGAAGGATGCATCCAGCCTTGAGTCAGGAAAGCCATGAGTGTTTGTGGGGAAATGGGGATTTGGCACGTGTAGGGTGAAGACACTTCCTATGGAGACATGGACTGGAAGGAGTCTGGCGCTGAGTCATGTCACCACTCATCTCCACCCCCCCATGTCAGGTGTCTCTTAGAGCCATTAATCTACGAGCCCACAATGGGCCCAGGCAGTTAAGGCCAGGCAGGTGGTGTCCTTGGTGAGCAGCCGAGAGGGCTGGAGAAGTGATCTGTCCTGCAGGACCTGGGCCATGGCCAAGCAAGTCCCCACTGAGAGCTTGGGTGCAGTCAGTGCTGGCAACCCTAGTGGGGAGACACTGTGGAGCAGGAGGAAAGAGGCAAGGGTGCCCCTGCTGGCCAGAGGGTTTCTCCAAACCAGATGTCAGGAACCCCTAACTCCTGCTCCCTCCTCAGGTCTTCACAGGGATTTTCACAGCAGAGATGACCTTCAAGATCATTGCCCTCGACCCCTACTACTACTTCCAACAGGGCTGGAACATCTTCGACAGCATCATCGTCATCCTTAGCCTCATGGAGCTGGGACTGTCCCGCATGAATAACTTGTCAGTGCTGCGCTCCTTCCGCCTGGTACCTGGCTGGACCCACTGAGGGGGAGGGGGTTGCAGAACAGAGCTGGGAACACCCCTCCCCATAAGGTCAGCAGCCACCCCTACTTAGATCGGCCATGCCTTCTCCCAATAGCCATTTGCTAGGTGCCCCTGGGTGCCCAGCACAGTACTGGTGGTGTTGGGGGTGCAGAGATAGACTGACCAGGAGACATCCCTCCACAGGGGCAATTTAGGTGGCCATTCTGATGGTTCACAAAGCCACAATGATCCCTTTACACTTTAAAGGATTTAGAAGTGGAGCTAATATTACCCACATCTCCATTGCACAGATGAGGAGACTGAGAAAGGTGAAACAGATTTCCCACAGCCATATGGCAGGTGTGCTCACTGCTCATCCAACATGCTGCCTGCTGGTTTCTGAATCAGCATTTTCAAAACTTTTTTGTGCACATGAATCACCTAGGGATCTTTTTTACATGGCAGGTGCTAATTCAGCAAGTCTGAGGTGATGTCAAACCTCCTGGTCTGTGGACCACACTTGGAACTCAAAATGCCTGAGAGTTCCAAACATGAGTTAGAGGTGTGGCCAGGGAAGACTGTTTGAATAAGGTCCTGTGTGCTGTGTTTTGCCCCACTGTGGGGGTGTAGAAGGGCAGGATGGTGGGAACAGTAGGGAAAGCCAAGGCTGTGGGTTCTAATCCTGACTCCACTGCTGTGAGCCAAGGGACTTAAGACAAAGTACTCCACCTTTAAGTGTTGACTTTATCTATCAAATGAGGTATTAGTGCCAACATCATGCAGTTATTGGGAGTCTTTAAATGACTTAATCCATCCTAAGCACAAGGCCTAGCACATAGTAGGCATTCAATAAGTGTTAAGCACTTGTCCCCTTTCAGTGATAAATTAGAGCAGAGAAATATGGAGGCAATTGGATAAGTCAAAGCTATTAAATAGCTGGAGCTGGGGCTGAAGGATAGATCAAAAACAAGAAAGGCATTTGATGCTGGAAGAATCTAACTGGGAGTTCTTGTGAGACCAAGGCAAGTAGGAGGCTGGTATGAAGACAAAGAGAAGGACTGAGATGAGATGAAGCTAGAGGTGTTGACCTGACACCCACAGCAGTGCCTAGGGAAGCTGGCCTCAGGCTGCAGAGAAGAACAGGAGTGCCTGCTCTTGGAGAAATGGGGAAAACAGATGTCAGTGAAATCCCAGGGCTCCCTGAGCTTTTAGGCAGGAGCTGGGGAGGGGAGGGGTATCCATGGGCATCAGAAACAAGAGCCCCTCACAAGGACCCTTTCTTTTCCTCCTCTAGCTGCGGGTCTTCAAGCTGGCCAAATCATGGCCCACCCTGAACACGCTCATTAAGATCATTGGGAACTCAGTGGGGGCACTGGGGAACCTAACGCTGGTGCTAGCCATCATCGTGTTCATCTTTGCCGTGGTGGGCATGCAGCTCTTTGGCAAGAACTACTCAGAGCAGAGGCACCTCATCAGTGACTCAGGCCTGCTGCCTCGCTGGCACATGATGGACTTCTTCCACGCCTTTCTCATCATTTTTCGAATCCTCTGTGGCGAGTGGATTGAGACCATGTGGGACTGCATGGAGGTGTCTGGGCAGTCATTGTGTCTGCTAGTCTTCTTGCTTGTCATGGTCATTGGCAACCTTGTGGTGAGTCAGCCAAGGGGCTTACACCCATACATTCACCCACGCATCCATTCCTCCACCTAGCTACCCACCCACCCACCCAGTCACACACTCACTCACCCTTCCTTCCATCTACTCCCTCACCCAGCAATCTATCCATCAGATCTTCCATCCAATCATCAATCTCTCATCCATCCATCTGTTCTGGACCCACCCATCACAGTTCTGTTTACTCATTTACTTATCCTTCCATCTGTCTCCATATACATTCATTCATCCACCCACCTATATACCCAATTATCCATCTAACTATGCATTTATCAGTAATCCATCTATTTACCCATTCTTTCATCCATAGTCTTATTCATATATTTAATTATCTAACCATCAAGCCACTCTTAAATTATCCAGCCACCACCAACCTACCTTTTCATCAATCTGAAGGATTGATTGTTACCAATCCTCCCATCCATTTATCCACTTATATTTTAAAACAAGCTTGTTCAAGGATGCATGGCCCAAACTCCATCAGCCTTCATAGTTAGAGGCCAGTCTTAAACTATATTGAAGGTTAAAGTCTAGACCAAATGTTCATACTCAGGAGAGTAAAAAATGAGAATACAGAAAACAGTTTTATTTCATGCCTAAGTTCTGTAGTCAACCATCTGTCAACCCCATCTACTCATTCACTCATCTGTCCATCCAGTTATTCATCAACCATCTATTTTATCTGTCCATCAGCTACCCATTCATCAACCCCATTCATTCATGGACATATACACATATATCCACCTATCCATCCCTACATTCATTTTTCACTCATCTGCCCACTCACACGTTCATTCACACCCCTACACTCATTCTTTCACCCTCCCATCTATCAACCCACCCATCCATTTACCCATTACCAATTCCATACATCTCCTCTCCATCTATCCAGCTATCATACATTCACTCACTGCTCCATCCATTGTTCTTTTATTCATTCATGTATTTTATTTACTCTTCTACCCATTATTTTATTGTCGTTTACTATCAGTGAATTCTCACATGTTTTTTCAATTCAGCTTAATCAACCCCTGTTGAATGCAAAACATTGTGCCTGATGCTGTTGGGCACAGACAAGTAAATGTGATCCAGCACCAGCCCTGATTCTGCTCACCCTCTTGAGAGACTGGGGATGTGGGGAGGTCAAACAGGCCAGAAATAACAACTCCCAGACTGGTCAGAGTGATATGGACCCATGGGTGCTATTCCCCTTCAGCTAGGGACATCGAGGAAGGCTTCCTAGAGCAGGGTTTGGAGCTGATTTGATGACAGGTAATTCTAAGGAGGGAAGGAACAGGGCGAGCAAAGCACAGGTACAGACAGGTGGTGGTCCAGATGAGGTGGGAATCTGTAGGAGCTTTACATGTTGCCCTGAGCTGTGGTTGGAATCCTTTCCATCCCTTCATGGGGGGCTCACACCTTTGTTCCTGTGGCTGCCTGTGATTTCTGCAAGGCCACCCCTTTCAGGTAGGTGCATCTTGCCTTGTATCTTTCCGATGTGGGAAATTCTGGAGTTGAAAGAGTAAAGTCTAATGCCAGAGAAGGAGCTTTAGGAAGTGGCAAGGTAGAAGGAACTCAATGGTTCAGGCAGAAGTCAGTGTCCACTGTAGACATGAAGCCACCTTCCTGGCTATACAGGTGGCCCACACATGCTCAGCCATCATACCTGCATTGTCTCCTGCTATAGCGATATGTCTCTGTCATGGGCAGCTCAAGAGTTGCATCAGCTCATAATAAGCCTGCTATGGGGCGAGTACTATGGGCTGTAGACTTCAGAGCCTTTCCTCAAACCTGCCTGCTTTCTCCTCCCATTTGCTTTACCCAGCTAGGACAGCACAGGCCACTTTGGGGTCAATTCTCCATCGACTTCAAATGTAGATCCCAGAGCCCAAGAAACTGGGGCATCTGTGCACAGTGCTAGTAGAAGCCAGTTCTTGGCTGTTCCCACAACCCCCCTTGTGTCCTTTCAAAGTGGCT